CTAGGTAGTCATCTAATTCTACCACCCAAAGTGCTGACAGGAGGCACTGTCATCCTGGTGCTGCTCAGAGAGCCAGGCCAGACCCCGGAGGGCAGAGGGCTGCACCTGGCTGAGGTGCCCAGACAGGCCCACGGGGGACAGGCCGCGTGCTCTGCCCAGGCCCAGGCTCCAGCAGCGTTTGTGGAGCCTGTTCTATTTTCGGTTCCTTTGTCATCACTGCAGGCAAACTGGACTGGAGGAGTCTGATTAGAAAGGAAAGAACCGGTTTAGCAGAGCAAGGGGTGTGAGAGTTGTTTTGCTACACTGGCACCACAGCCCCAGGCAGCAGAGCCCAGGTCAGGTTGATGATTCTGGGCTCAGGGCTGGGTTCGAGTTTTATCATAGGCTTTAGAGCAGTCATCAGACAAAAGAGATGAAGAAAGACTTTGAGATTTAGGGGTCCAGAGGCTAGAATTCCTGCCTCAGAAATAATGGTGACAATAAGGACATCTTATAAGTGTGTTTCATGAGTGTCCAAGCTACCTTCATACACTATTATCTCATTTTATAGCAGACCCTACCCCCCGCCAGTGTATTTCAGTTTCTTAGTTGCCCGGGTAATAATTATCGTTACAGGTCCTGTTATTTTTATTTGGTAGGACACAACTGGTCACTGTGATGCAGATCTGGTCACTATGATGCACACTGTATAAATCAATCCCCAATTAACAAGTCATTCTGCCTACCTGTACTTCCTGCTTGCTTATCCCATACAAGCCCTAGACCACCAGAGAGCATTTTCGGAACGGTCCCAATCGGTGCCCATTGACGATTGGTGCCCGTTGACGACGTAAACAGGTCTGCCTCCAAATCTTGGTGTCTTTTCTGCGTTTCTGCTTGCTGTTGCCATTTGGTCCTTGCTGCAGCCCTCTGAGGTAGGCAGGTGTTCATCCCACCTGATATACTGTGAAGCTAAGTCTCACCAATTTGCCCAAAAGCCACAGTCTTCAGAAAGTGTCCGGGGCCTGAATCAATTATTAGGAAAATTAGACCTGCACTGGGAAAACCTTGAACTCATAGCCATGGGCCTGCCTCAGCTTCCAGAGTGTGAGATTAGAGGCATACCACTGTGGGGAACTCAAGGAATGAGGGGAGGCTCTGGCCTTGTACTGGGGGCCCCAGGAAGCACAGGACTTCATGAATCCATGCTCTGGGGAGGGGGCCCATGAGTGCTCAGAGCCTGTTGGTGGTCTGGCACGACACAGCCTTTGCAACAGGCCTCTGGACAGCTTCATCTCATCTCTTGGCTGCTGGGTGGGAAGGGTTTTTCTGTTCCCTTCATGCCGCCCCCTGAGTCAGCTCCCTGCCACTGCCCTGGCATGTCCTGGGCCCCACGCCCAGGCAGTGAGGAGATGCTGGCCGATTGCCCAGAGAATGCTGCTGTTTTAACTCGAGCTGGATCCTAATGATGACCCCCCCCTTTCCCAGAGCCAGCCCCACAGTGGCTGCTGCATCAGGTGCTGTGACTTGCAGGCACAGGGTGAGCTTCCCTTTCCCCTTGGGCTTCCTGGCCTAGGTGGCACCTAGGCCCCACAGGCCTTTACCTGATGGCCATGGCCCAAGAAGCAATGCAGGAACTAAGTCTTTTTCTAGACTTTGGCTGAGCCAGACTCCAGCTTCTGCTTGGAATTTTGGTCACATCCAAATGGCTAGGGAGGGAGTTGCTTTTGGACAGAAAAGGAGAAGCGAAAGCCAAGACTCCAGCCTGAAGCTGCCTCAGCTGTTTCTGGGGCTCTGACTCAGGAGCTGTTTCTCAGGAATGTTGAGCTCATCGGCCTCGGAGCCCCCTTGTCCAGGCACAGTAAGATGAGCAGCTGGCAGGAGAGGTCGTAGGCTTCTGTCTCCCCTGAGATCAGCTCTGGTAGAGAAACCACTCCTGCAGGTTGAATGATGATTCCTGCCAAACCCTGCCAGGATGGCGGGGAGGAGTAAGGGAGGGAGGGGAGGAGGGAGGAAGGAAGGAAGGACGGAAAGAAGGAAGGAAGGAAGGAAGGAAGGAAGGAAGGAAGGAAGGAAGGAAGGAAGGAGGGAAAGAAGGAAGGG